ATTCTGTCTATTCTGTTCCTCTAGAGAACCCTAATTACAGTAACACAATCTTTAAATGCAACAATATTGCATCAATGCACAGAACCTGGTTGTGTTTCCCTGAAAGGAAATGCTCCCAACCTTTGTGTAGACCAAAATTCTCCCTTTGAAGATACCTTAGCACAACCTAGTTAATTTCTAGCAATGAGTTGTGCTCTTAATCATATTTTACCAGTAAATATCAAAACAAGGAAAGAGCCCTTGCCAAAGAAGCTACTGAATGGATGTAATGTGCCCATAAACAGATGAAAAAGTGCAAACAGTAGGAAACCAGAATGATTTACAAAAGCACTTAAAGCAGGTAATTTTCTATAGCATAAGTCACCAAGGTACAGCAACAGGTAAGTAGGTATCTGTAACTAAGGTATTATGTAGACAGGCCCTGGCAATGACTTTAAGCCTTGTCTACATAGCTGGTTCATCCCCCAAACAGTATTAATATGCCTTTATGCAGGAACTACCAGGTAATCAATAAAAGTTTCTGATTCTCGGTCTCAAGTATGCATTTTTATCTGAAGGTCACAGCTAACTCTAATGTGACTCTGTACTTGAGAACTGCTGTATCTGAAGGGTGTTCTCAAATCTCAAAATCTCCCAAACTCCTAAAAATCACCAACAACTTCAAAGGATTTTAATTAGATTGTACTTCTTGATCGACAGCTACTATATAATACATCAAAATGAGCAATTAAAAAATTCATCAAGTCAGTGTCTTGGCTTGAATAAGAATGAGCCCATAGCTTATATTTGAATGTTTGGTTCCCAGTTAGTGAACTGTTTGGGAAGGATTAAGAGGTGTAGTCTTGTTGGAGGTGGTGTGTCATTGTGGGGTGGGTTTTGAGGTTTAAAAATCCCACACCAGCCCTATTTTTTCTCTTCCACCTACCTGGAACAGGATGCAAGATCTCCAGCACCATGTTTGCTTGTCTGCCGCCATGTTTTTTGCCATGATGATCATGGATAACATTCTGAAACTGTCAAGCCTCCAGTTAAGTGCTTTCTTTTATAAGCTACTTTGGACAAGGTGTCTCTTCACAGGAATAGAACAATAACTAAGGAAGAAATTGGTAACAAGGTACACTGTATTTCTGTGACAGGCTGGCTATGCTTCTTCGTGGAATATGGGTGTTGGGACTTTGGATCAGGAAGGCAGCTGAATGCTTCAAATGGGTCTTAATGGGCCATCCTAGAAGTAACTTGGAAGGCTATAATGCTGAGAGCAATGTGGACTGTGGAGGCCCAAATCAAGAGGCTTCAGAAAGGAAGAATATTAGCAAAAGGCCTAGAGACGATTCTTGTGATATTTTGGCAAAGAATGTGGCTGCATTTTGCCCTTGTCCTAAGAATCTGCCTGAGGCTAAATGAAAGCACTTTGGACTAAAATCCTTAGCAGAGGAGATTTCAAGGCAACCTAGTAGTGACTGTCATTTGGTTATTACTGGCCACTCTTATATAGATCTATAATGAAGGGGAGCAAGCAGGGCAAGAAAAAAATCCAAAATGCACAGTTTGTGGATCAAAAGGACAGGGGCAACATAATGTTGGAGCCAAGTCCTGTGCTCAAGAAGATAAGTTCAAAGAAAGGCCTGATGCTAAATGGAATAAAGGGAGTACTTTGCTCAGGGTAAGACCCCACCAAGCTAATCCTGAAATCTGTGAAAGGAAAGGGGAAGATGATTTCTACTGTATACACACACACACACACACACACACACACACACACACACACACTATGACTTAATAGAAGACATCTGGGTACTCAAGGATGTTTGGCATTGTCTGTTTTAAGATGCTAGTTTGATTTAAGTAGGTCAAGGAAACCTCACCTCCCACACATGCAGTTACAAAAGGAAGTCACATTCTAATTACCCCTTCAGACATCTATAAATATGCATACTTGATACTTCACAGATACCATATTAAAATTCAACAAGTGATAGCTTTTGAAAGTGTGGCTGTGAAAAGGCATCTGAACCCATATCACTGAGCATTTTCTTCATTGATTATAAATGTGGAGATTCCTATAAAGGTTGATGTTTTACAC